TTAGAGACGTGAAACGGCCCGTGTCTACGCAGCAATCCAAACATCTGGCCTTTAAGGCTTTCCGGTTTGTTCGTTGGAAATTTTAAAGTTCATTTTACTGCCTTTTCATAATCGAGTGTGTAGCTAATGTAAACAAAAGCCTTGGCAGAACACAGAACAAGGGAAAAAGTTGGGTTTGGCTTAGTCAAAATGGGTGAGTCTGACGGTAACGACAAACAGCATGGGAGGATGTTTAGTAGGTCTTGATAATGTTGTTAATGTGTGGGGTTTTTTTGTTTGTTTTTTAAAATGTCCCTTAAACTAAAAGACCAGGCTGACAGTGTCCTGGGAGATAGACTGGGCCCATATTTCTTTCCTGATTCAGGGCTTATACTAACTCGTCTGTACATTCTCTCTGCTGCCATTTGCAGAATGAAGCTAATAATCTGAAAAACGAAGGTCTGCATTCCCGTAGGAGGCCCCCCAAAGGCAAGCCTCGTGTGTGTGGTTACCCCTCCGCCCCTACCCCTGCTTTATGTTCTCTGCCTGGTCCGTGCAAATGAGAGCACCTCACTGATGGACCAAGGAGGGGTCTTAAGGGAAAAGGAACTCGGGGCCAGCCTCCAGCCCCGGCCTGGACAAGAGCCCGTACCTTCAACGGAGACCGCCCGGCGGGCGAGAGGGTCGCTGACGCCGTGTGTCTCGCTGGTGAAGCTGCAAAGAGAAACATCATTTTAATTCAGAAAAACCAGTCGGATGACTGTCTGCAAACGCCCTGTGTGTACGAACCCACACGGAGGACACTGCTCAGGACCTTCCGGGCAGGGGCGGGGGGAAGAAACTGAACGATGCCTACCAAAGGATGGCCGCGTTGAGACGAGGGATAATTACTGAAAAGTCACCAGTGACGCTTTAACCAGAATGACAGGGCCTCGAATGCGTCCCTTCCCTTCCCCCAAGGTCCGGGCGCTTCTTAGCTGCTTCGTCTACTTCCTAAGGTGCCTGCAGGTCCGCGGGGTGGGGGGCAGTCTTCGGGAGCAGCTGCTGACTTGGGCCCAGGCAGCTGAGGGCACACCCAGGCCACCCATGCAGCTTAACCTCGTCCGTGGGAATCTGTTTCCGGCAGCCTCCCCCTGCACACGCCCAGCCCTCCAAAGGCGACAGGTAAGACGTTTCCCTCGCCCCCTAAAGCCTGTGCTCAGGTCGCCCCTCTGTCCCCGCCACAGAAATCCTCATCTCTGCACGAGTGTCCGTGAGTCCAGGGCCTGCTGCTCTGTCATGAGCGCCATTCTCCCGGCTGTCACAGTGGGGCTCAAAACTCACGAGAAAACTACAGAAAGGCCGAGGGGAAGAGACAGACACTTACAGACCCCCCGACAGCGACCACAGATGATGACACAGAACAGACCATGACAGCAGTCAGTGCGGAGGGCAGGCAGCCCTGTGACGTTAACCTGGGAGACGCGAGGTCGCCCATGCGCCCTCAGGGAGAGAGTGGCCGTGACTGCGGGTGGTGTCGTGCGGTCCGCACCTCGCTTGCCGCGTCCAGACGCCAGCGTTAGCGCCTCTCCCGTCAATTGTGG